ACTTCAAAATTACTGTCTTGAACTTTCCACATTTTTTTCATCCTCCCTGCCATGTCTGATGCATCATGGTCACTGCCAATTGCTTTCTGATTATGTCTGATGTGTGTTTGCAGCTGATGGAATCAACTAGTTATTTTCAGAACTGTGCTGAACTCACTTCTGGAACTCCTGGAATGACAGTTTGATGAAAGCAGAATAAAAATGGGACCTGCATTTATGCTGGAGTAGGAATACTCAAAATGAAAACATTCCATGTGTTTGTTTTCTGTGGGCTAGTGAAGAGAAAGTTTTGGGTAAAAAGAAAGAGCAGGATTCAATTCCTGCTGTTACTCTGCAATTTTAAACAAAATATCCAAGACCCACAGGCTTTGTTTCTTTATGCTGTTAAAATGCAGGTCATAAACCTTGGCCATACTTGAAAATTATTTTGTATTTAAAGTTGATCATACAATTTCAAAATTATTTTTACAAAAAAAAAAAAAAAGAGGGGATAAAATATTTCCTCAAAATATTTGCGAATGGTAAAATAGAAACTTGTCTTCTTAGTCACTTATCCCTGCAAGTTTGCAATGGGCTTCAGAAATGAGGCTGTTTCTTGGTTTGTGCAGTCACAAAGTCAGAAATGCTGGGCCACGGAAGTTTAGCAGTACAGTTTCTGCTGTCAGAATTAAGGTTTTTCAAGTTTCAAGCAAAATGGATAGAATTTTGTTCTAAAGTATCCACCCGAAACGAATGCATTTTTTCTTTGTGTGTTTATTTGTGTGTCTACAATTTAACATAAAAGTGGGATCTAGTGCTGCTTGCATGCAATTTTATTGGTGAGAATTAATAACTGGAGGAAGAATGGGGAGACCAGGCATAATTATTTTTATTTTCTAGGATTAAAACAGTGGAGTTTCCTACAGTGAAGAATATTCTTCATGTTAATACTGATTATGTTTTCCCATACCTTTTCGTGTATGGGACACATTTTAACATGCATTATACTCTATTAATTGCATGACTGTTCTATAGGGTAGTGGAGCAGTAACAGTGCAAGAGAATGTGACAGGGAATGGTGTTTGTTTTTTTTTAACCACAAGTACCCTCTGGCAAGGTAACTGTCTGAATGGATTTTCTGATGGTAGCCTTTTGTGTTGTACAAGCAAGAGATTTTGTGGTGCAATTGTCAAATATTAAAATGTTCTATTAGGTCTTCTAAATTTGAGCACAGGTTTTCTGGCCTTACTTCTGCATCTGCATTTTTATTTTTTTCTTGGTTTGAAAACATGCTTTCTGATATACCCCGTCTGGTCACATGTAGCAGTGATACATTTTCCTGAAGCTGTTGTTGTTTGTGGTGAATAAGAACTATTGGAATAATCTAGTGATGCTAATTCAAATTCACTTGTAGTGCTGCTGCCTAGTAATAGTAATTGTTACAGGAGCCTCCATTCTGATAAGGACAAATATTCATGATGAAGGCACTGCTGATTTTTAACTCATTTGCTCTTTAAGCTCAGAACTACACTGATTTTTCCTAATGAAGAGAAGCAAAAGGGCAGGTATATAGGTTTTGAGATGTATATGTATGACTTTAATAACCCTAAAATACTGTGACTAATCAGTGGAAAATGTGATGTATATGGTTTGAACTTTGTGTGCCATGATGTATTTAAAGAATGAATGTCTTGGATACCACAGCATATCACCCATTGCAACCCTCCCTGTCCATCTCCACTATGAAGGCACTGTGGTACAAGAGGATGTTGAAGATAAAATCAGGAGTGTTCCTCAACCAACTGTTGGTTTCTGGTGGTAGTGCACACTGTTAGAACTTCACCAAGCTGGAGACCTGTAGACTGTCATTAAGTTTGAAATTATTTCGTTTCCATATTTTCAGCCTTCAATAAACTGAAGATAATTTATTTATTCCAGAGTGGTTTGCTTTTTGTTAAAAAAAAATTGTACAATAAAACAATCATTTTTGCTTGCTTTCCTGCATGGGTGTGTATAACTGTGCAGTTATCAATTGCAAATTCAGGTGTTTGTGGACAAGGGTTTTTGCAATAGTTTTTAAGATCAGATGAAAAAATGCTGTTCTAGAGTGTTCAGCTGGAGTTGGGATATCTGATGGGAGACTGTGGTAGAAAGAGAGCTTGCAGAAAAAAAAAACACTGAGTCATTGGCAGTAACTTTGAAGTGACCATTTTTAACAGCAAAGGTTAGGTGGTGCAGTCTGTATTTTTTGGCATTTTAAAATCAAAACAGGTTATCTCTCTAAAAGTCTTGGAGTGACTAAAATAATTGACTGTGTATCATATGTTCTGTTGGACTCTGAGTTAATACAGAGTTTTCTTTAGCTGCAGACCTAAAGGCTTTGCTTTCAGAGTACTCACCTCTTAGTTTTATCTCCAGTGCTGCTGCTGAGCCCTGGGTGGTTGGGGTGCTCAGGAAACAGACAACAGGCAAGTCCTAGAAAGTCAGAGCACTGTTATTTTATATTAAAAACACCTTATTTAGTTAACTGTATTGGAATATGTTAAACAGGTTATTTGATTGGCTTTTGAATTTCATGAGCATTTGGAGTGTTTCGTCTCATTTAACTCCTCAGCTTCATTCTTCTTGCTTTAGTTGGCAACTGCTAATTTGAACCAAATTGAGAAAATGCTGGAGACCTTTCGTAATGGCAATTTGCTAATCTGACTTCTCGGTCCACAGAGAAGTCAGAGAATTTGCTCTCAGAATAGCTGCTCTTTGTTCTGTCTGTATTATTCTTAAAGGCCTTTTAAAAAGTGATAAATGCTAATTACCATGTATCAAGATAATCTATATGAGAGGAAATGAATGTAAGAGCAAATGAAACTGCATTCCAGAAAAAGCATGCCATAGAGAAGAATAAGAACCTAGGAGAAACTGGATTTTTTCTCTTTTTTTAAGAGAGAATTATATAATCTTTTACATGCTTTTGCTCACAGTTTTTATCCAGGAAACAGATAATTAAAGTCTGGATGAAGAGCAATTAAATTCAAACTAAATGTATATTTATTTAGAGAGTATGTAGATTTTAGAGGTTTTATTAATACCAGTTATCATTTAAGAGAACAGGAAGTACTAGAGTATGCCTCAGGTTTACTGGCCACCACTTCTCCATATTAGTATTTAAACAATTTATTAACAGTGTAGCTTAGGGAACAATTAGCAGTAGCTTTCCTGTTCTTACATCAGCAATTGTGCACTGACATGTGGACTGCTATTGTCTACTGGAATTCTGCTTTTAGAAACTAATTAAAAATATATATAATACTCACTCTAAATAGTACTATATTTTGGCAAAGAAAATCCCTATAAATTGTTTATCTAAATAATCAAACACATTTTTTAAAATTTAAAATCTAGGCATTTATTTCCTCCTTATCCATATAGACTCCATTTTTGTCAGCAACTACCATTGATAAGTTATGCCTTTTAAAGTGCTTATGATTCATTGCAATAGCCTTCATTAAATCATATTAAGAAAATGTTGAGAAATTATTGCTTTTGGTTTCCTAAAAAACTACAGAACCATTAACAACAAAGACATTGATTTATTTGGGTAGGATATTTGGTGAAGGAACTGACTTGCAAAAGACTGTAGATGGAGTAACTGCAGAATCTTTTCCAAATGGACACATTGTGCTTTCCCAAATTATTCTCAGGTTTTACTATATTCTGCGCTGTCTGCATGGTCAGCTGGGATCCACCTAAAAATTGTTCACCAAGAAACCTGCTGAAATTGTTCACCAAGACCCTTTCCATCATTTACCATCAATTCTGGCTAGCCAGGGAGGTGTCAGACAACTGGAAGTTAGCCATAGTGATGCGTATTTACAAGAAGAGCTGGAAGGAGGATACAGGCCTGTTAGCCTGACCTCTGTACCAGGGAAGGTTATGGAGTAGATTACCTTGAGTGCATCACAGGCACCTACAGGACAAGCAGGGGACCAGTCAGCATGACCTCCTTTATTGTCAATTGACTGCCTGGTGGATGAGGGAAAGGCTGTGGATATTGTCTATACTCCAGCAAAGCTTTTGACACTGCCTCCCACAGCATTCTCCTGTGGAAGCTGGTAGCCCATGGCTTGGGCAGGTATTCTCTCCCCTGGGTGGAAAACTGGCTGGATGGCCGGGCCCAGAGAGTGGTGGTGACAGGAGCTACATCCAGTTGGCAGCTGGTCAGCAGTGGGGCTCCCCAGGGCTCAGGGCTGGGGCCAGTCCTGTTTCATACCTTGGCTGATGATCTGGCTGAACTGTATCACTACATATCTGCCCATGAAAATATGAATTTGACAGCCTTTCAGAAAGGGCCTCACAAGCCTGTCTCTCTATGCCATCTTGACTTTTTTTGTCCAAATTGAAATCTTAGACCAACTTTCTTCTATCACCTCCAAGAGAGTTGTGGACTCATATTCAATTCAGAGACAGCTGCTAACCTTTGATTCTAATTCCAGCCTACAATTTCATTTTCTGAGTATGAATACTGCTAGACTTGTCAGTGAGGCACATAGCATGGGTTTGCTATGTGGGTTATTTTTCTCATTCAGGCTGTCTTGATGATTCTTGATGCAATATTTCAAATCTTTCCTGTCTTTTCTTGTAGCAGAAGTTGGCATTATCTTATTACTTCATTACTATGGCATACTTTTTGTCTTTTGTTGTAATTTTGTTCCTCTGACAATTCTTCATATTGCTGCAAAGGTCTCCCTTCCTGTGTTTCTATTACTGTTAATTCACTTGCTTTGCAAAATCCATCCCCCCTTGCTTCACTAAACTTAGGCTGTTGATTAATTCTCGAGGCTTTTCACAACGGTTTGCAGCATACTCAGGACCTTATCCTCAAGACTGAGGGTGAACACCAAGCTCCAGTTGGCTCTGGAACAATTACTACGTATCTAGGCAGCAGCACTACAAGTGAATGTGAATTAGCATCACTACAGATTATTCCAGTAGTTCCTATTCATCACAAACAACAACTGCTTCGAGAAAACACAGCACTACTACATGCAACCAGACAGGAAATAGACCAAAAAGCACGTTTTCAAATCAAAAAACAAATCTGAAGACTATCAAAAATGTAGATGAAGAAGGAAGGCCAGAAAATCCGTGGTAAGATTCAGAAAACCTAATGAAACCCAGCCTTCTCCACCTACTTGTTGAAGTTCCAGGCAGATACATTTGTTTTTTTCCCTGTACTATTCCTATACCTGCCCTTAGGCTGGGAAGCAGGAATATCCCTATAAGCAGACCCAATCTACTCCATTATCCTCCAAATCCCTGCTTAATATTCTTCTTAACTAAGACTAATACATGAGAACATGAGCACAGTCTCCTGAGATCAAGCTGAGCAATGCCGGCTGCTTTATCTCCACCATTGATGCCTGCATTAATTTCCTGTGTACTTTGCAAAATAAGTTGTCTGAGGCAGGGGCAAGTGGCATAAACAAAGTGTTACTGTAATGCAGTTGATAAGTAATGATTTTGGAAGGCTGGCACTTCTAGAAGATTTTGGAGTGGTGACCTATGCTATATGAATGCTACAGAACATGTACCTCTGGCTGAACAATAAGATGTTAAGGGATTTACTTTTAATTTCTTTATTTCTATGAAAGTAAGAAAGGTTTATTTTATTTTATAGAAGCCTTTATTGTTTCTCAATTAAGTTATTTGTATAATAATGGCATGTGTGGGTAGCACAGGATGATAAATATTGAATATGTGGAAGTGATTCGTATTTCATGAACTCTGATCCTGACCTTCTTACAATTACCAGAACAAATTACATTAATTACACCAAATTACATGACAGGTGGAGGAAGTTGTCATTAGTATCCATTACATACAGCAATATAGAAACTCTCTGGTTTTCTGTGGTAATTGACTGTAAGCATGACCACTCTTACATAACAGCAATACACACTCAGGAGGTGATGTTTTGTTTGTGTAGTTTTCATGTAAAAAGAGCTTACTTATTTCAGAGTAAAAAAAGTTTTTCCTGAGTGATAAAATCAATGGAGCCTGGCTGCCTATGGATTAGGGTCTACTTAGTGTCCACTCTTGCAGCCCCTTTTCCACCTCCCTCTAAGTCCTCCCTGGTGCCCTAAAGCAAGCAGTGGGTGGCACACATGGAACTGGCTATTTGTGCTCCTCTGGGGCAGACATGCATTGCTGCCTTTTAGACTTTATTGCTAACTGCTGGTCTTCAGGAAACCTGTAGGACTGCAATCATTTGTAAGTTTCAAATTTGGGTTAATTGTGATTATGTGTGTCTGTGTGTCAAATTAGATGAGAGGAAGATACTGTGGTAAGAGAAACCACATTTCCCTAGGCAGTGAAACAGTGAAAACTATTTTGTGCAAAGGTCAATATCCAAAAATGTGCACCGGAGAATAATCTAGAAGGGTCATACCGTGTGACAGACTGGTGCAGCACGGCATTATGCTCTGCCAGGAGCCTCACCAGGACTTCCCACAGTGTAGGCTTTCCCCTGGCTTTTCCTTTTTAGTCACAGCACAATTTTTCTGGGATGAAAGACCATGATAAGAAAGGGACACATTTTGATATTGTTGTATTTTACCAGCAACTAAGTACCCTGCAGCTGCTTGCTGACTCCATGCCCTTCCCAAGTGGGATGGATGGGAGAATCACGAGCAGGTAAAAGCTGTGGGGTGAGATAAGAGCAGTTTAGTAACTGAAACAAAGTAAAATATAGTTGTAATAACAAGAACAAGAACAAGAACAAGAACAATAATAATAATAATTATGAGAAGGAGACAGGAGAGGAAAAGAGACATAAAAAAAGAGCAAGGGTAATAAACCCCAAGAACAGCAAGTGGTACACAATAGAATTGCTCACCATCCACTGACAGATGTACAGCCTGCCCTCAAGCAGTGCTCAGTTCCCCCCATGGCCAACTCCCCCCAGTTTCTACATTGGGAATGACATTCTATATATTATTCAAACATCCCTTTGGTCAGATGTCCTGGCCAGGCTCCCTCCCAGCTTTTTGTACCTCCTCGCTGGTGTTGCATGAGACACCGAAAGACCTCATCTTGGAGCAAGCACCATTTAACATCTAAAATATCAGTGTGTTACCAACATTATTCTCATACTGAATCTAAAACAGAGCTACTGGAAAGAAAATTAACTCTATCCCAGTAAAATCAAGGACAGATATATACAAGTTTTCTTCGTGCCTGACATAGCTGAATTGTTTGCTAAGCACAAGGGAAATACCCATTTTATCAAAATTTGCAAATTCCTGTTTTTCCAAAATGGGGGAATACCTATTTTACCATTTACTATTTCTCTCTTCTGAAAGAATTGAAGAGCACAGATAAGATCTTGTTCTTCATTCTCTTTGTTTTATAAACTCTTTGTCTTCTTCTCTGTAGAGATTGTAATGTGTACTTTTGCTTTCCTTTGCTCTTTCATTTTTTTCCATTATTCATCCTTAAACAAAGTTTTATCCCTGTTGTTAGTCTGTGTTATGAAAAAGAGTTTTAATTTAAGTCTTTCAAGGTAATATTGCAAAATAAAAAAGAGAAAAATGTATGAAAATAACTGAACTTCCTCCTAATTTTTAAAAATATCTGATTGTCTGTGAGGAGTTCTAAAAATTTATGTTAGAGACTGGTTTATTCCATTATTCATTAACCATATTATTTAATCCCCTTTGTAAACAGTTTCTAGCCAGTTGAAAGGCTCAAGCAATGTAATATAAATGGAGACACTTTTTTTTTCTGGATGTCAGAGCAGACTTTGACATTACATGTAATTTATGGGCACTATATCCCTAAACATCTATTAGGACTGGGGCCTGAGACACTGTTAATGTTAATGTTGACTCTTGTTAGGCTCTTCCAGAGGCTTCATGAATGTACCAAAAATGGTACATTTTTGTACAAAGCATGTACAAGTATTTTCTTGTTCATACATATGGTTTTTTTTATGCAGTAGGCATGGTAAAAATAAATGAAACTACTTCGATGAACTCCGATTTGTTTCCCAGGTAGATGAGTATAAAATTTGATATACTTAAAAAAACCCAGTCATGAACAACAAATGGATTTTACTTTAAAGAAATGCAGTGAACCCCCTATGTGAGTGATGTAGCAGTCATTCTTCTCACATAAGCTCTTTGGTTTCAAAAATGTAATAAAATCTCAAAAATGAAGTTAGGAATGCAATCAAGAAATTAACATGTATCAAATCTTTGCAAAAAAGGCAATAGAATCTGTTGGAGGAGAAAGGGGAAAGTTTTGAATGAAGACTTAAAAAAAAGAAAAAACCCTCTTTTTTTTGGGATAAATGTGATATATGCACAGTGGAATCCAATGCAGTGTCACTGGAGGAAGTAGTATGGTTAGTGTGGTTTTCTGTGACCTTCCACCCCCACCTGGGGCTTCTTTGGCTGGATTTACCTCAAACTGGGAATGTCAACTCTTCTGTTGCAATTACCTAGAAAGTATCTTTAAACAGTTCAAGGTCAGTATATCATTAAAAAATCTTCCACCTTGTTCTACCAAATACTTTAGAGTGATGGCCCAGCACTCTGCTTTGTGGAATAAATGATGTATTTCTGTATTTCTGCTATAGGTGCACTTTGTCACTAAGATGAAGGATGCTAAGAGAGCCCTGGGGCTGCAGACAGTTGTACTGTGTATAATGAGATTTCTGCAAGAAAAAACCTAAATGTAGAGAACATAGGAATGGAAAACCTGAAAAAATGAGTAAGGTTTGTGCTTTGCCTTGTACTTACTTAAGCATGTATTTGATGAATTCGTGCAGAGGAAGCTTTTCTTTTTGTGGCTGCTAACACAATAGGAGAACTTATCTTACAGCTGGAATCAGAATTTATAAAGGTATTTATGTTATTACAAACACACACACACACACACACACACACATACACACACACATCTTCTAAGCTGTGGTCTTGAAATCCAGACCTTCAACAGCATAGTCTAAAATGTCATATGCACACATCAGCTCACGAGGCAGGAAAAGAAGAATATATGTGGTACAGGATTTAGGCATTCCAGAATAAATTAAATAGGACTTCTGAAACCTTTTGGAACTGTGGTTTTTTTAATTTTATGACTTTTAATGTCTTCTATAAAAGTTAAACCTCGCTGCCCTTTTCTTGGAAAACTATGACAGTAACACAAAATTTACCTGTTTGATATGTTATTACAATTTTTCTTCAAGCCAGCATTGAGATTTAGTATGTAGTACCATCTAATACCGTATAATAATTTAAATCTGGTTTAATGACTTTTGTAATATAAATGTTTTAAGTATAATAACGATTATTTTAACAAGTGTTTCCTGATTCCAGGCATGTGTAAAGATAGGGTATCTAATATAGCTGACCAGATAACTGCTTTTACAAATTATATTCATTCTTCTTTATTTCGCTGCAAAATGAAGAGAGTTCAGTGTAGTTCAAGGAAAGCATTGTGATAAACAGACAGCTTAAATGTGAGCAGTGTAAAGAGCAGCAGCTTGCAGAAATATTGCTATAGATACTAAGACCGTATCCTGCCTCGCTACGGACCACACATAATTGAATCATGTTCAATAGAAGGCCATTACAAAACAGTGCTGATTTGCAATGCTAATATGGTGAAGACAGCTGTCACTGGGAATTAAATATGATCATTCAAAGCCTGAATAAATGAGGTGCCCATTATCTTCTGGCTCTGCTACAGCCTGCTTAAAGAACACAAATAAATGATACTGTCTCAATAACCAGCTCAGTTTTGTCTTCTAGCCATAGAAATATGAAGAAGACAGAGGGAAGAGGGAGGGCACACAACAACATCAACAACAAAAAGCAGAGTCAATTTACAAAGACATGCAGAAAACCAATGCCCTACGACTTCATTTGCAACAGAACAGTATTTGTGGAAAAATGGAGAAAAAGCTTTTTAACCAAGCTAACATGTCGTAGTGTAGAGCATGCATACTTATTTACAAAAAAAACCCGAAACCACAGTGAAAATCCCAGGTGTCTAAAAAACTCGGTCAACGATTTGCCAAAAGAAATCAGTTAGAGATGCCAGAATGTCAGATGAACTGGAACAGGGTCTGCCAGGAGTGATTA